CTCTCCCTTCAACACATCTCACCACAAAACCAAAAACCAACACACACTTTTGATCTAAACAAATCCAGGATTGGAAGTTCGCCAAGAAACAACTGGCTAGTGTCGGTGACCAGAAAATCAACAGTCAAATGGCGAAGTTCGACCCCAAACCCCTGACACCTGCCAAGGTCAAGTATGTCCAGGAAAAGATAGCTGCTCTCTCTGCCGAGAGTGTGAGAAAGGTCTCAGCTGCAGCAACGAGTTACTACGTTTGGGTAAGTCGCTTTTAACACACGGCTAAATAGAAAAATTAGTAAATAAATAAATAGTCACTGTTATTCATCATCAGGCTGTCTACACGATCCCAAAAATTATTTTTTTTAATCAAACTTTATAACAGAAGATATTTCTTTTTTTTTTCTCCGAAAGTTTGGCTCTCTACAATAATGAATGACGGCGTCGATTTAAAAGTTGGTGCCTTGAAGCTCAGGACTTCGACGCTACCTTAAAATAAGTAAGTTCTATCTGACATTTTTGGCCGTTTTTGAGTAATTTAGACCATGAGGTCAGAAATCATGTTCTATCTTACTTTATTTTACTTTTATCCGCTGCTTATACCCTTTTGGGTGTCGCGGGAAGAAAGAGACGTGTCTCTGTCATAAGCCGGAGAGCTTGGGTCAGAGGAATGCCTGACTCCATCTGCTCTGTCCAAATCGCAAGACTGTTTGGCGTCGTTATCAAGATATCCAAAGGATTGCATTCGAAAAAGCTTGGCTTGTGAAATTCAAACATTTTTACGTTAAATTTGTCAAAACGAAGTACTGAGCAGATAGAACTTTGTAAATCTAGGGTAGCGACCTGTGTGTAAGGCAAGGAAAGGGGAAGTTAAACTTTAGTATTTCAAGGATTTGAAATGAGATGTCGGTGTATTCACACCCTCACTGATATACTTCAGCTCATTTAGTACTGAAAAAGTAAAAAGGTAAGTAAGTGGACGGGCATCCGACCTTAGACGTCAGGGCAAATCCGGGCAGAGAGGTTTAATAGCATGCCAGTAGAAAGACCGAACTACCGAGATACTCGATAATGATTCCCTAAACTCGGAAAACAAACTCGCAGACGAAATTAATTTTAATGTTATATAAATAAACAAAAATACATATATTATATGCATGTATATGCATTACATTAAAACGTCAGGTTTTATCTCCCTCAGGTCAAAGAGACGGTGAGCTCTCTCCCTTCAGAACTGACAGCTGAACAACCGACAGAACAGGCGGCTCAACAATAGAGAGA